ATCACAACCACCACGCCAACTTTGTGGCACAGGATGAAATTTCCCGCCCTCATTGAAGGATGACCACAAGGCTCAGAGGTTTACAGGGTTGCAATATCCCAGTGCAGTCTGTCTGCTTCTCTTTCCACTAAGTAATTGGCTCTGGTTGGGTGATTAATGGTGGACACAGTGGATACTGTTCTCCGGAAACACGCAGAGACATAATTCTCCCTGGAAAACATGTTCTCTTTGGCAGGATCACAGGCTCATGGCTTTCATAACTGCTATGGGCTGCTCTCTCTTCCTCTTTTCTCCACGTTTTCAAAGCTCTGGGTAAAACCACCGATCTCTTCCTCAGAACACACTACTTCAGTCCCATTTGACTTCATGCCAAGAGACGTTCAAGATATTTCCAGCCTCTCCGAGCAGCTAAGAATAAACCAAGCGTGTCAACAGTTTACAATCAGGTGCGTCACTGAGTAAAGCTGCCAAAAAGTACCCCTGTTCAATCATATTGAATCCCGCCTGTTATTTGCACAGTATAAACTAAACCTAATGACAAATGATGAAATTGCTTGACACTCATGTTGCTTTATTGACAATGATGTTGTAAAGATTTAGATTCTGAATTGTCAATGGCACTGAGAAATAGAAGCTTATATTTACTCAACTATATGGTTGCTTCAGCTGTAAGTTACCATGGTAGCTCAAATTAGTGCAAATGTATGTACTACTAAGTATTTGAAACATAACCATACATATAAACCAAATTTACCAAAACCTCTAACTAGGAATAATGGTTGAAATAACATGGCAGACAGATTAAATGACATAAATTCACCCTTCAAATGTTTGGACTCTATATGATTTTTTTTTAATGTTTTTTGAAAAAAGTCTCTTACTCTCACCAATGCAACATTATTTGATCAAATATCAAATATACAGTAAAAACAGCAATATTGCCAAATATTATTACAATTTAAAACAACTTTTCTATTTGAATATTTTTGAAAATGTAAAAAAAAAATCATTCAGAAATCATGATAATCTTATCATAAATATTCTTAATTTTTATTTATTTATTTGTGTAAACCATGCCATTTCTGTCAGGATCCTTTAATAGAAAGGTTTAAAAAAAAACTGCATTTATTTGAATTATTTTGTAACATTACAAATGCCTTTTTATCAGTTCAGTGCATCCTTATTGAATAAAAGTATTCATTTCTTAAAAACATTCATTCTCAATGAACCCAAATTTTTGAATTGTGTATATTTATTATATATTATAGAGAGATGTGAATAAATAAGTTCACAGCTGCTCTCCTGCATGAAACTGATCTTAACAATGAACGTTCCCATGGTGCCCTGCTTCACTTGCAAGACAAAAAATTTAAATTTCTGCCTCTCTGATTAATCTTTTGTACACAATGTTATTTTTTTAGTTCCTCTCTATTGCAGTCTGTCCCTGCTGTAAGCTGACAAATTGAAAATGCTCTCACACACACACACATACATGCTAAACATCTGTGATTGATTACCTGGAAATACTGGAACCAGAATGAATTTCATTTGGTTATCCTGTTTTGAACATGAAATGTAGAGGTTGATACTTTACAAACAAACATTATAATTAACCTGTTAAAACCCTGAAGAAATACCAGACAGGGTTGTAAATAATTCGAAAACTGAAAATGTTTGCACCCTTGTAGTTCAAGAAATT